TCATATTTCCTTTTCTGCCTGGGTTTCCATCTCTCCTTGCCTGTGCAATCTCCACTTAAAAGGGGTTCTGGTCCTAAAGGAAAGGGAAGTCCTCTTCCATTGTGACTTTTGGTACCCAGAGCCACTGCCAGTGTTCTTTAGACCCTGGAGGCTAACATCTAGGCACTCCCAAAGTAATAAAGATACTCACTAGTATCAGGACCTGGCTGGCCAGGACCACACCTCACCATGAACCTGGCACCCAGACTTGGCTGGTTACTGAGCTCTGTCCACCTCCTAGGGTTTTGCTCCATTTCCTGTGTTTCCAAACTGGATTCTGGTAATTCTAGTTCAACCCCTGCCTTTCTTCTCCAGATTTAACCTTATTTACTTCATATATATATATATATATATATATATATATATATATGCACAGTCTTAATTGGCAAGTACAATGAAAATGTCTCATTTCTATCTGGTTTGCATTTCATTACACTGGGCAGCGATATGCCTTGGACTGCAGAGGACAAAGGCAAAACAGACTTTAAAAAAAATTATTTCAAATATTAATGTTTCTTTTTTTCCCCTGATTGACCCCCAAAAAACACTTTTTAAAAGAGTTGATTAACAATATCTATTTGTTTATTCTATATTGAATTTTAAAGTATTTAGAACTTATAAAATATTTGTCAAATGATAGTATTAAGGTGAAAACTCTGATGTAAGAAATAAAGCCTAGAGCCCAAATGAGCGGTTGGTGAGTGTGTCCCAAGGTCCCTGAGCTCCAGAGAGACTTCAGCTCAGCCCCTGAAACCAATTAAGAGCTTTATCTTAGCATAAAAATAAAGAGGAGTTAAAAACGCATTCCTTTCCCAGTTTTCTTCCCCTTTCATTTTTAATGTGATTTGCAGTTTTTCCTTTTAAAAAGGACCTGTGACTCTGAAGAGAGGGTGGGAATTTATGTAAAGAAAGTGTGGTTTATAATTTTAAAACTTGGCAATAATGGTGAGTTTCAAGGACCTGTTTCAAGGAGAAACACTTTGTGCTACCCAAAGAGGAGGCAGGGGCACGAAATTCAGTGTCTTGGAATAATTCCCTTCCTGGATTCAAAGATTCATTTATTGAAATAAATCAGGAAACATTGGCAGAGCGGAAATCCGCTTGCTGGGTTTAAAGGGTCTTTAAAATGTTGCAAGTGTTAGATTGCAAGTCTTTTCTAAATACAAAACAGAAGAAAAGACCGCAGTGTTTCCCTTGGATTTAAAGACAATTGCCAGGTCTCCGAGTTAGAATAATTTCATGTCCGCACAGAAAATGTGTTTAGAAAGAAATCCTGCATGATAACACAACGTGCTGAATGTATTGTTTTGTTTTGTTTTGTTTTGTTTTTGGAGGCTGGAGTGAAGAGAAAAGTGATGCAGAGTGGGGTACTGTGTTATATAGAGAAACCGTCCCTCCTGCCGCTTTGAACATTCTGCTTCCCTCTGGCTTCTCCAAGATGAATCTCAAAATTCGGGCTCAAAAGCTTTGCTTATTTGGCAATGATCAGTTTCACTGATTTTATTTATTGCTTTAGATTTGGGCATGAAAACAAATCATTTTTTTCCTAGTTACTATTTGAACTCAGTGTGAGGGAAAGATCCCATTATATTTCCTATCCATACAGATATGTTGCTATTTAGACCAGACGGCATACAACTGAGGGATGCAAAAAACCGGATTTATTAGTTAATTTATCCTGCCTAATACACATGCAAACCCCAGTAGCCAAAGCTGCCAAGAGAGCGGGGGTTAGAGCATAAAATAAGAACCAGGACCCCTGAGTTCAAGCTGTCCAGCTCTGCCCAGCTCTGCCCAACCCAACCCAGCCCAGCCCAGCCCAGTGAGTCTTTTCCCCACCTGAGAAACGAAGAAACTGGAGCGCTCTTCTGCCTTGCTCCAGCTTGTGTGCAGGAAAAACTTTTCTGTGCTCTCCTCTTTCGGGCACCAATCTGCTCTCAGATTCAGCTTCCTAAACCCCCCTGTGTCCCAAGTTGTTCCTAGGATCTCCTAAAATCGAGTAACCGGTGGGGGCTGCAGGTAATCAGGAAAACTTCCCATTGTTATTCTTGACTCACGGGAGTGGTTTGCGGGCGGCTGTTTTGTTTTCACAAGTGATAAATTGCAGTATCTGGAGATATTTCGCTTTCTACCGAGTTTCAAGGGTCAGGGTTCTTCCTCCTCCAAAAGGAAATCTCCACCCAAACCAACAGAAATCGAATCCCAAATGGCCTGCCTGTGTCTTACTGTTCAAAAAGACACCCGACTCGTTCTTTTAGGGGCATCTGGGGTCCCTGCGACCCACGGAGCGATGACACCCCCTCAGGGTAGCACCCTCCGGCTGGGTCGGGCTGCCCCTGGAAGGGCTCCCCGCCCGGGGTTTTGGCTTGACTGAACTGCCTCAGATCGGCCCCTTAACAAGCACATCCCCTCCCCACTTTCTCGGTTGATGATCTAATTGAATTATGCCTTTTTTGTTCCAGTGACTACAGAGCACGTGTTGGAGGCAATTAATTATCGGAATGTGGCCATATCAAAACGGACACTGGGCAACCGGTAGGTCTATGGCGGCAACATCCCCCCAGCACAGTGCTTGGGACCCCTCTCCACAAAGGAGCAAACTGGGCTCCTTGGGCCGCCCTTTTTCCTCAGCTTTCCCTTTTCTAGCCTGACTGCCCGCCCTGACTCCCAAAAGGAGCAAGGGCTGGTTCTGGGGATACCAGACAGTGATCCCCAGAAACCCTTGGGCCAGCTAGGGCTCGACAGCCACCGCCTCCCCGCCCCGAGCCTTGAGAATCGCTCTCCTCGGGCACTGCGAGGAAATTCAGACTTTTCAAACCAACCACCTCCGAGGGTGCACGCGGGTAGATGGGAGGTGAAAAAAGGTAAAAGAAAGGAAAAGATAAAGGGGGAAGTGAAAAGAAAGGAGAAAAAGAAAGAAAAGCGATTCTCCCTTTCTGTAAAACTGACTCCAGGGAATTCATTTGCATGATTTAGGCGTATTTGTTCTTCTGTGAACCCCACTCCCTCTTCCCCACCCAAAGAAACCCTCTGCTGAGCGCCACTGAAACCTTTCTTGGTGAGCCAGTTCTCAGTAAACGTAATAATTCCAGTTAGCAGTGAACTCACCTTCCAACCTCAGGAGAGAGAGCTCTGGATGTAGAGGGAGAACTGGGGCAAGTTTGATGGGAGGGGGTTACTATGGTAAGTGTGCAATCAGCATGATCTCGCCCAGCAAATAGGCTAAGAAAGGTAAAGTGTCGGCCGAGCCAGGCGGATTGAGTGTGTGTGTGTGTGTGTGTGTGTGTGTGTGTGTGTGTGTAAGGGGGGGGGGGCGGAAGTGAAAGGCTGCAGTTTATAAAGCGCTGCTTGAGGCGGTCTCTCCAAGCGCCTCTGAACTTGATCAGATGTTGTTTCCTACAGAGAGATGGCGGCCAGGCTGCGAGGCAGCCTCAAGGTTCAGACTTTGGGGCTTGGCCCTGTTAGGATGTGACAATCACAGCCGTAGTTTTGTTGTTGTTTTGTTTGCCTTTTCTTCCCACTCTCACCCTCCTGCATTCTTTGCAAATGCCCTTCAAGACTCCCCCCCCCCCCCCCCCCCCCCCCCGCAAAATAAAAAAGAGTGGATTTATAGCGTTGTCTGAACTGGTCAGAAAAACCTTGCACCAGACAGAAGGGGGTAGTGATCCCACATACTACCCTGGAAAGTAAATCCCTAAGGGGTAAGAAGTCCACTTGCTGCTCCCGGTAGAAGTAAAAGAGAGCAAAGTCTTAGCTGTTCCAAGGGGGTACATTTTTACCTCACAGTCTTCATTCTGGCCCCCAACGTTTGCTTTTGAAAATGTTGAGACTTTGAAGCTAATTAGTCCTGTGGTTTGAGAACTGCACGGATCCTATTTGTGTTTAATGACTTAGCAATGTGTGTATTTACTTTCTTGTGTGCATGTTTTGTGTACATCGGCTAAAGATATTCGCTGAATATTTAACATTGGTGTGTGCATTTGCTTCGTTAAATGCGTGTATTGACTTTGTTGTGTGTCTGTTTACTGTTTTGTGAGTAGCTTGTCATTTTACCGGGTTGTGCGCTTACTGTTTAGTTGTGTGTGTGTGTGTGTGTGTGTGTGTGTGTGTGTGTGTGTGTGTTCAGTGTGGCGTGTTCGTGTTTACTGTGTTGCTTGCATATTTCTGGCTGTGTGCGTACGTTTATTGTGTTATATATGTTTGGTGTGTTAGTTTACTGGGTTGTGCGCTTACTCTTAGTTGTGTGTGCATATTGTGTTATATGTATTTGGGGAAGAGGGGAGCGGCAAATATAGCCATTAGGCGCAAACTAAAGACTCAACGCTAGGTTCAGAGGGAAGAGAATCAGTTATAATTGCAATCGCTTCTCCTTGTTTGGAGGCAGCAGCAGCTCAGGGCACAGACGGCGAGCTGGACAGCCTCAGTTCGGAGTCTAGAGTCTAGAGACCATCAAAGCCCATAGTGGTGGGTAGGGAGGACGCAGCTAGTGGGCCCTGAGCCTGGAACTGCTGCGCTCGCCTCGGGATAGGCGCCCTGCGGTCTATGAGGAGGTTCAATCTCTGGGTGATGAGGGACTCGAGGGGCAAAGAGTTCATTTGGTCAAAGCGGGTACAGCGCGCGAGAGGGGACGGAATGAAGAGGTGGAGAAGCCAGGCTCCGCCCCGCCGGTCGTTGGCTGGAGCCTGGTCCCCGTTCCCTACAGCAGCGCAGCCTGGCCGAGCCCACTCGCGGGCGCCCGGCAGCAGCCGCCTCACCTGCCAAGCGCCGGGCCACGGCCCAATCAGAGGCGATCGCTTGGAGGAGGCTGCCATGTTCCCCACTCGGCGCTGCCAATCAGTGTGGCGGCGGCCAATGGGCTGCAGGGCCGGGGGTCAGGTGACTGGGTGCCAGCTGGCTCCCCATTGGCGCGCGCCTCGCGGCCTCCCGCTTGGTTTATGTGAAAGGAGTGAGTGATTGACTTGATCAGTCCAAGGACATTACTCCGGAGGCGAAGAGGCTGGAACTCGCGCAGCGAGCGGTGCAGACCGAGCTTGCCTCCTGCCCGCTGCCGCCCGCTGGCCGGGAGCCGGCTCCGCTATTTGGCGCAGCCCAGCCCGGGGCCCCTCTGTTGGGCTCTCTGGGAGAGGAGGAGTGCCTGGGACAGGATTAGAGAACTCCGCCCTCCACTTGTTATTTTGCTTATTTTTCTTTGTGCGCTCCTGTTAGTTTCTTAAACCAGATCTAGTCCCGGAATCTTTCTCCTCACTTCCCTTCCTCCCGTCCTCCCCACTTCAGCTCCCTCTACTTCCCTTCCTCCCTCCTATCCTTCTGCAGGAGACTCGCAGCGACGGAAAGTTGCAGCCCCTGGTCCTGCCTTGGGGGTCTCCCGGCTGTGTCCAACTGCCGCCACCCCTCTCCGACTACAGCGCTTCGGAGATCTCCTCTGCCCGCTCCGTCGCTCATTGCAGCCGGATCGCCAGTGCCCAGAACGCCCCCCGCCCCCAACCCATGACGATGCTCCTGGACGGAGGCCCGCAGTTCCCCGGGCTGGGAGTGGGCAGCTTCGGCGCGCCGCGCCACCACGAGATGCCCAGCCGCGAGCCGGCGAGCATGGGGTTGAGTCCCTTCGGGGACTCTCCCCACGCCGCCGCCGCCGCGGCCGCTGCCGCTGCCTTCAAGCTGAGCCCCGCCGCGGCTCACGATCTATCTTCTGGCCAGAGTTCTGCATTCATGCCACAGGGTTCGGGTTACGCCAACGCCCTGGGCCATCACCATCATCACCACCACCACCACCATCACCACACCGGCCAGGTGCCCAGCTACGGCGGTACCGCCTCCGCCGCCTTCAATTCCACGCGGGACTTTCTGTTCCGCCAGCGCAGCTCCGGGCTCGGCGAGGCTGCCCCGGGTGGCGGGCAGCACGCGCTCTTCGCTGGCTCGGCGAGTGGTCTGCATGCTCCAGCTGGCATCCCCGAACCACCAAGTTACCTGCTCTTTCCCGGGCTGCATGAGCAGACCCCCGGGCACCCGTCGCCTACCGGGCACATGGACAACAATCAAGTGCACCTGGGGCTGCGCGGGGAGCTGTTTGGCCGTGCGGACCCGTACCGCACGGTAGCCAGCCCGCGCACGGACCCCTACACGGCCGGCGCGCAGTTCCCCAACTACAGCCCCATGAACATGAACATGGGCGTGAACGTGGCGGCCCACCACGGGCCTGGCGCCTTCTTCCGTTATATGCGGCAGCCCATCAAACAGGAGCTGTCGTGCAAGTGGGTGGACGAAGCTCAGCTAAACCGGCCCAAGAAGAGCTGCGACCGGACCTTCAGCACCATGCACGAGCTGGTGACACATGTTACCATGGAGCATGTGGGGGGCCCGGAGCAGAACAACCATGTCTGCTACTGGGAGGAGTGTCCCCGCGAGGGCAAGTCCTTCAAGGCGAAGTACAAACTGGTCAACCACATCCGAGTGCACACGGGCGAGAAGCCCTTCCCATGCCCCTTCCCGGGCTGCGGGAAAATCTTTGCCCGCTCCGAGAACCTCAAGATCCACAAGAGGACCCATACAGGTAAGGGTAAAGGGAGGCGGACGCGGGATTCATCGCCGCACTGTGCCGGGGGAGTCGATGTACAGCGACAGGGGTGATGGCCAAATAGAGGGGCGGTGCCCCTCCAGGGCCTTTGGGAAAGGAAGGTTGTCAGTGTCCCTCTATCTCTCCCCTTTCACGCCCCACGGCGCTTTTGCCTACTTCTAACTTCCCGGGCAGACGGCTCTGTGGTCTTTGGAACTAATTGGAACCTTCTCGCGCCCAGGGACAAACTGGCGCCGCCTCTTTTTGTCTCCCTTTCTGGGTTACTAGGAAGGGACTACGAATGTGTTGAGAGCCTATTGCTTACAAGCAATTTAGCTTTCGGCACACATTCGGGAAAAGCAACCATAGAAATGCTAATGAAAGCTAACTTTCGGTTACTTCCGCTCTTTTCTACCGGTGATTGGCACGTCTCCTAATTAAATGACTGATACTTTTGTCAAACTATTTTTATTTGGAGTTCCAGGTTCAATTCAGTCCTGCGGGAGGAAAGCTAACGTAGAAAAGGCATCACAGTTTCGTGGCTTGCTCAGAACGTCTTGTAAACTGTCTGGAAGTCCCTGGATTGATATAGTTTTCTTTTTGAACATTAAGTACGACGAACCAAGCTTTTTAATCCCGAGTTTAGCAAAATCGCTGCATTTGAAAAAGGCAAATTAACAGGTACAAAGAACGAACTGAATGGGATTTGCCCGTCCTGGTTCATTGTCCCGCCTGGGATTGGTTATATCTACTAAGCAGTGGCAGAATTTGGCCGCGCGTTGGGCTGGGTAGGGTGGATCCACAACTTAGGGAAAACTTTGGAGGAGCCCGGTGCTTTCCTATCCAGAGCGAGAACAAAAGGATCCGCAAGTTCTGGACCAGCCCTGCCCCACCCCGCGCACCACTCCCAAACCAGTAGGCTTAACCAGCACTCTCCGTTTTTCTCCAGGGAAAAGAGAAGCTACTGCCGCCCCCAGTCGGCGCTCCCTCTCCCGGAAGATCGCGGAGCGCTCGGTCTCCCGCTGTTCCGCTCCAGGAAGCTCCTGGCCTGACCATGTTCCCTCCCCTTTGCATTTTTGCCTTTTGCAGGTGAGAAACCTTTCAAATGTGAATTTGAAGGATGTGACAGGCGCTTTGCCAACAGCAGCGACCGCAAGAAGCACATGCACGTGCACACCTCGGACAAGCCCTACATCTGCAAAGTGTGCGACAAGTCCTACACGCACCCTAGCTCCCTGAGAAAGCACATGAAGGTAATTACCTCTTTATTAGCGGTCGGCGGTTTATAAACGCTAGGCCCAACACCGGGGCCGCGGAATATAAGCGCCCGCGCTGCCAACCCCGTACCCTCCACGTTAGATCCCATTTGCTCCAGAGATGACACCTTGAATCCATATTTAGGATCCCGGAGGTGGGTGGGGGAGAGCACTGTGGGGAGGTGGGGGGAGCGGGGCAGGGGGTGGGGGTAGACAATCAGTTGTTTACTGAGAGGCTCTAAACGAGCTCGCCAGGGCTTGAGGTTTCGGCAATCAGTCGCCTCTTCTGCGCTCAGCCCGCAGTGGGAAACTGGAGTGCGAGAGTGTAGGCGCCGAACCCCGAGGGTGGGTGGTTCGGTTCATTGGCTTTCCATAAAACAATAGGGCTCAGAAGCAAGGTCTGATTTCTATGAAGTTGTCTGAGACCTTGCAGCGCCTAGGGCGCCTGTGCCACTTTTCTCTGTACCTGCTTTCCCAAGCCAAACTGGGCTCGGTGAAATCTGGGCCCGGAATATTTTACGTGGCCCTAAAGACCAAGTGCTTATCCCACTCCATCCGCGGAGAAAGCACTTTGGAAGGAGCGTGAATAATACAGAGCTCTGTCCCTTTTCCACATGTCAATATTAGGAATAAAACTGTCGGTGAACATCGCCAGGGTTTCTAGACATCGGTAATACGGAAATTAAAAACAAGCCAACGAAATCAGCAGCGTTTCTCTCTCTCTTTTTGTTTTAAGTGGGACATTGCTCTTACTGTGCTCGAATTCTGCTCTTGTATATGCTTGCACAATGCCGGTTGGAATTATATTCATTATAATATATACATGTTAATTTTAGGTTCATGAATCTCAAGGGTCAGATTCCTCCCCTGCTGCCAGTTCAGGCTATGAATCTTCCACTCCACCCGCTATAGCTTCTGCAAACAGTAAAGATACCACTAAACCCCCTTCTGCAGTTCAAACTAGCACCAGCCACAACCCTGGACTTCCTCCCAATTTTAACGAATGGTACGTCTGAGGACAAACACAAACCCTGATAACCATAAAATGGACCAAATGCATTTTAAAAAGAAAACTGAGGCCAATCAAACGGAAATGGAGTTTTAAGGCAAGAGGCCACATATAGGGCAACATCTTGTTCATTGTAATTGTCTAGGAAGGTTTCTGGGTAAAATCCAAAAGTAGGCATGCCCTTTCTCAGGATTAGGAAATATGTTTTGGCATTTGAAAGATTAAAAAAAATATTTTCACTGCTTTCTCTCTCCTTTCTCTTGCATACCCCATCCCTAAACTCTTTCAGTTCATTTTAATACTTGTCCTGTTTTTTGAGAGGAAGTTATAGAAGGCTTGGTGGTGGTGATGTTAAGCTGATTCTTCGCCTTAGTGGTGATTGTTTAAACTCTCACAGTCTTAAACTGTGCCAAAGTCCTGTTATGTCTTGAACTTTTTCTCAAAGCATTACTCTTGTGAATGTATTTTTGTCTAATGGGGTCAAAACTGTTGGTCAGTATTTTTTTCAGGCTGAGGATGTGATGTTACTCTACACAGATTGTGACATTTAGTATACAGTTGCCTTTTGTAATAACTTTTTTTTTTGTAAATACATACTCATGGATGCCATATTTATCGTTGTAATTTAATTATTGCTACAAGTGCCGGGAACTGAACAATATTTATGGATAAGTGTTTTCTAACAAATTCTGTACAGCTGTTGATTATAACTGCGTTAGCATTAAATTTTATTGTTTTGAAAGAAGAACAAAATTTACAATTTTTGAACCACTGACTCCTTTCTCTTGTTTTGTAACAGCCTCCTAAAAAGAGGAGATTCGAGCAAATGAATCTTATCTGTTGGTATTTATAACTCAGATCCATTTTTTAATTGTTAAATTATTTTTCTACTGAGGTATGACACTTACAGTGTCAGTTTCCATCTGGTAAGATCATCCTTTCTTTATCTCTAGCTCAGATGGTTCTTTAACTGCGAGTTTAAATGTGCTTGTCCCCAATTTTCGGCATGCAAATCAAATATTACTGATCAATCCAGTTAGTGGCCATGACATCTCAATCTTGTACTTCAAAGACTGAGAAGCTGGATTTAATCATCCCTGCCCTACATATATAAACATGAGGTAACCTAATGAGTTTTATGTCCCTTGCTTTTTTATTACCTTACATAAAAATGAACATCTAGGCAGGATGCATGTCCATCTATTCTATTGAGAGATTACCCATACACCTATATATGTTTGTATCTATGACTTACCTAATCTGCCTATCAAATCTATCTAGCTAGCTAGCTATATATTTTTAAAAGTAAGCACATCTGAAACAGTGGTGATGAGTAAGGCCAGTTGAGCCTGCTTACTTATGGTTAAAGTGCTTCTTAAAAAATAAACCATAGTCCATTTACAATTTGGGAAGGTAAAGTCTGATTTGTTTTGCTGTATATAGTTCAATTCGTAATTTTCACAATTATTCATAATCTTTTTATAGTGGTATAATAACTGCAGCAGTTCTGAAATTATATTATGGAAAGAAAAATCATTTGCAAAATGTGTATTTTTAAAGTTCATGGTTTGTAGGCAAAGATGTTAAAAGCATTGTTTCCATTAAAATCAATAATAATGAAAAATGGTTGTTTGCTTTGTAATAAAATATTAACAATCCATTTAATCTTTAGTGAAGCAACTCATTTGGACAATTTTCACAGTTATATAAAAAAGAAACTGCTTACTATTTTGGGGGGATTGGAGTGGGTAGAGAATTAAGATTTCTTTTACTAATTTAGGGTGCTGTTTAATATTGAGAGCCCAATCTCTGCATGAATAACCAGCTTGCAAATCAGTAAATAGAATGGTGGAGATAAGGAATTGTAAAGAATTTAGAAATGTAATGAATAGGCTTAAGTACCCTCCTTCTCTTGAAGGGGAAATGATCTAGGTTTTTTTGGTGGCAGTCAATTTGGTATTATACATAATCATTTTGAATTCTAGAATTTTGTTCATTGTTATTTTAAAAGAAATAAAGTCTTGGCACATGTTATTTATGTTATAACATTTTTGTATTTGGTGCCTGAATTTTTAAATGTTTAATTAAGTTAACCTTAAATTAAAATGCTCAGAACTGATGATTAAAAGAAATTTTGATTCCCTGGATACAGTTGAAGCAGTCTATTTTAAGTTATCTACTGATGTTTATCAACAGACAATTAATTATTCATAGTTTCTAATTGCAAATTGCTTTGGGTGTGATTTTTGTTTGTGGAGAAGGTTTTTTTTTGTTTGTTTGTTTTTTCTTTTCCCACTTTCCTCCACGAGTAGAGAAGGCAAGGGCTTGAATGCCATGAACAGAGATTGGGGTGACTTCACAAATAATGAGCAGGTAACCTGGTCAGTATACCATACAACTCCTACCCCAGACAGTCCAGTCTTGACCTTGACATTGAGAGTGCTGGATTAAATTCCTATTTCAAGATTTTTTCTTTTATTCCAAATCAAAGAGTGTGTTAAATGCTCAGCAAATTTTCAGAAAGTGTATATTCATAATTGACTGAAAATATATTCAAACTGAAGTCTAAATAGTGTTTTTCTTCTGAAACATTCAGTGAACTTTAACAGTTTACTGTTTTCTTCACGAATTACTTTTCTACCCTCACCCAAACTTAAACCTAATCTTAAATGGGAGTAGAGTGATGGGTTCAAATCAAGATTCTCTCAGAAACTAGCTTATTTTCTCCCCTTAGGTATATTAAATATCTCTTTAGGAGACATAAGTAAGAGTTTCATCTTTCCTGAGTAAGCTTGAAATTATTCTACCAAAAACTTTACAATAAAGTTTTGTGTCTTAAGTGAAAGAAAAATGGCAATTAACAATGATGATAACCAATATTAAGATAATGTGAAAGTTTTACCCCTATACACAATTTCCTCTAATTTGGATGTAGCATCATATTTGCTCTTGTCATTTTTTGCAAAGAAAAGTTTTAGTAGAAAACTTTTCAGATTTTCTTCCTCTAATTTGACTCTAGGCATGCACATTTTACACTCATGAATTTTCAGGAAACATCTTTAAAGAATAAGCATCCCTTCTCAAACAAAACCTTGCAACCCTAAAGATGGATCAGCTGGAAAACATGAATGTCATTTGTCTTCTAATTATTACATACCGATAATTTCATTCTTGTTATGGTAAGGTCTTTGTTAAAAGTCCATTACCTTGCAAAATGGGTAGTTTAGCTTAAGATTTCCACTGTTGGGCCCGGAAGGGGGAAGTGTGTGTTTCCACGCAGACAGAAAATTGGCCTTTATTCAGTTTGGAAGGTTAAAGATCAGGATCCAGGCTAAGCGAGGCAGGCATTCTTAGCAACTTCGAGGGTTTGAGAGCCAACGGGGACAGCCTCTGCTCGCTAAGCCTTCCAGGAAAGTTGTGTTCAGGATTCCTTGCCCCTCCCCCCTTCTAGCTGCCTGTTGTCTTATCCCCTGGCTCCCTCTCCTCCCCACCCCAAACCCTCCCCGCAAACAAACAAAAAAGTCCAAGGGGCTCTTTCCACTTAAATTTCTCAAAGAATCTCCACCGCCGTGTCCATACCCTGAAGAGCTGTTCTCTGGCAGCTAGGTGGTTTTCTCTCGGGCTGTCTGACTCTGAAGGCTCAAGTCTCCAGTTGGGATTTGCCCGGCAATGAGACCAAACGATCTGGAAGTCGGAGCGCCCAGGTTCCCTATCCGGACCAAGTTCTTGCAAGTCCAGGCCGAAGCTCAGAGGGGGCGGGGGTGGGGGACCTCATTTCCTCCGGTCAATTCTCTTGCGGTCTTGGCCCGATGACCCTTTGACCTCCACCTACAGGGCCCTTGGCGGCCGTAAGCCGGCGGTCGCCCCGGCTTCGAGGACGCTTCGCGCCCCATCGCCTCCCGGCCTCATTAGGCTGACGGGGCTGTAAAGCAGGAATCAGTCGCTGCCTAATCCGGACCTGGGGTCAATACGAGCCCAAACAATGGTGAGCTCCGAAGGCCACTGAGTAGCGTTGGCCACAAACTTTGTGATCCATTTGGTTTCTTAAGGCCGGGGTGGGAGGCGGCGAGGGAGGGAGGTACTTGTACACCCGAAAACGGCTCCTCATTCCCTGAGCTCTTAAACGAATGTCCTCTCCCTTGGCCTTGTAATCTCTTAGTGCTGGGAATAGGAAGGGGTGTAGAAGCCAGGTTCTGGTTGGCGGTCCGCACGAAGGGCTGTCCCCACGGGAGGAATAGACTTTGAAGTGAGTTTTCAGCGCGCACATGTGAGAACCAGGCCAGGGCTGGAGCCAGGACCTGCTGGGAGGAAAGGGGGAGGCTCAGCCCTGGCCCGGACCCCTCCCCCGCTCCCCGTCGCTCTTGCCTTTTCTAGCCACAGCTGGGGTCCCGCCACCCCCTCACCCCTGCTGACCCTCCCCCGGCGCAGGCGCATACTCTGAAACCGTTAGGTCGGATTTTGCTGGGAGGTGGTGGGGACCAGAGTTGAAAGCGCATTTGCAGCGACACGGCCCCCACAGAGCCAGGAGGGAAGAGAAGAGAGGCGTGTGGGAAAAGGGGGATTGGTTTGGGGGCGGCTCTGGAGTCGTGAACGTGGCGGCCTTATGCGAACCCCCCGCGGAGCGCAGCAAAGCTTAGGCTGCTGGCTGAAAAACTGTCTTCTGGTTTAAACTCCCTTGTTATTTCCCAGCTCGGAGGGCTCACGGGAGAATGTGGGTTGTGGCGGCAAAACGCAAAATTGCTTTTTTTTTTTTTAAACACACACACAAAACAAACAAACAAACAAACAAACAAAAACAGAAGCAAAGAAGTTCTTCCGAGGCATTTTGGGGGTTGGGCTTCCCAGGGGGGCTTGGATATGAAACCTGCGAGAGGGCGCCCCACCCTGCAGTCCAGACTTAAAACCTCCGGACCCCCATGAGTATGTGTGGCGGGGATGTCATTTTGAGTTACAGTGCAAGGGTCAGGATTCCACAGCACCTTCCAGTCCCTAAAAATGTCAATGACTGGACAGACATTATGTTCTCTTCTAGGACAATGGAGAAGCCCATGAACGGATCACATAGGCACCTTTGCCAAACCCCCGTTTTCTGCATATCTCATTTAAACCTGGGCCCATGAGAAATGGAACTGTCGAAGCTCATGTGTGTGCTCTCACAGCTGGTGGTCTTAACAAGAAAAATAAAGAGGCCACAACCCCGAAACTTTCATTCAACTTTGCTTAACTAACTGCCTTAATGCAAAGTGTGAAAGAATCTTTCTGATGGCTCTGGGATCTTGAGTTTATCTTTTCTCCGCAGAAAAATGCTGCAGATTCACTAAAATGTAGGATTAAAAATTGTAGGTATCAACCTTCTGGCTCCTCTAGGAAAATAAGCATGAATTCTTTCAGGTTGGGTGTTCTGGAAGGCCAGCAGCTACCCGAAAAGGCAACCTTCTTGGGCTGATCCCTGCCAAGCATTTGGGTTTCTGAAGGTGTGGGGCAGTTCCTGTAGGGCACTCTGGAGAGGACCCCCAGGTGGGTGGGCAGGTCATTAGTAATGCTGGCCCAGATCTGGGGAAAATCTACAAAACAGTGCCTTTATCTCCGGAGAACAATTGGTGGGGTTGTCTTTCCTCCTTTTCAGTGCACAAAGAATAAGGCTTTGGAGCAAGAATTTGGAATATGCATTTCAGTTGTTGTACTTTCCTGGAAACCCATGGGCAATTAAAATAAGCTTGCTCAGTAGTATTTTCTGCCCTTTTCTTATGTGTGATTCCTTCAAGTCAAGGGTGCTGCAGACAGTTTGGAAACTTGTTTTGAAACTGTCATCAAATAGATTTTACCCCTTTTCCCTCCTTGTGTAAAGTTTCCTTTCTGGGTTCAGCCACTCCCCGAAATTCCTTCAATGGACCTTGGTACTGACATCTAGAGATCAAAGGAAGTAGATAGCGCTTGCTGTATACTTCATTTTTCCTTAGGGTAGCTTGAACCCTGAGGCTTGAGATTTTTCCTGGTTAAAACTCTTGGTATGAAAAGTGTGAAAAGTGAAAAGTTCATTCACTTGAAAAAGCTTTAGCTAATGGTTAGGCAGTTTGTCTCTTTAAGAACTAAAAAGCCAGATTGTCTCTTAAATTAACTTTAAAATCAAGCTAAGCCCTGGCCAGGTAGCTCAGTTGGTTAGAGCATCTTCCTGAAACATCAACGTTTCAGGTCCCATCTCCTATTATGACACATACAAGAAGCAACCAGTGAGTACATGGGTAGGTCATAATAGATTGATGCATCTCTCTCTCTCTCTCTCTCTCTCTCTCTCTCTCTCTCTCTCTCTCTCCCTCTCTCTCTCTTTCACCAATAAAAAAAATTAAAATCAAGCTAAACATGCACTAGTGAACTGTCTCCCTTGGATTCCTGTGGTGTTCTTTGGATCATTTGATATGATAAAAGTTGTCAAATTTTAGAGGAGTTAATTGAATGGAATTTCTGCAAAACTGGATGAATGATAAGTTGGTAGAAATCGTAGTTGTTTGAATGATGATTCCAAAGGTCACTGCTTTTCCCACTGATGTTTGGTTTCTACAATAACTATTAAAATTTGCATCTTAAAAACACTTAGTTTGCAGAAAGCATTTAAATGAGGAAGTATTCAGAGCATTTGAACTAATAGTAACTTAACACAAGATCAAAACTTCTTTGAATAAGATTAGAGAAATTTATGTTTGTTTTTTTTTTAATCTGTTGAAACTAAAGACATCATCTTTCTTTAAAAATAATCTACCAAAGCAAACAATTTTGTGATGGCAGTTCTACCTGTTTACAAATCTGATGAATATGAGCTTTACAGCAACTATAAAAATAACCTTCACCAGATGGCAAGTGTATGATATTTGATCTTTAATAGAATGTACATGTTATCTAATGTGTTTTATGAAAACCCAGCCTATGAAAGACCATTTGAAATATAAAGTGTTAAAAATAACAGATTCCATCATGTTTTATTATAAACTACCATTTGAAACAACATCCAGTAACATTTTACTAAACATTTTTAAAGAGTAAATGTAGCCTGTTTTGAGCTATCTGCAGTTCACTTTTTGTTCTTTTGCCAGTGTTGTCCTGCTTGGTATCCGGGACAGTCTCTAATTCCTGATGAAGAACTTGATACTGA